AGGAAGGGGCAAAGAATGATGGGACAGCATTCTTACCTCCCATCCTTTAGAGAATATTCCAAATTCTCACTTCTAGCCTCGGGGAGGGGGGGAAAGAACTCTAGGCCATATTTGTAAACTTACAACAAAATAGTTTGATTTGTGACAACACTTTGAAGTAGGAAAAAGTCGGGGACTCCCAGTTCCCGAGAGGTCCTGCCCACTGACATCTCTCCACCTCTAGCTATGGTTTTCATCTCCTTTCCCCTGGCCTTCGCCATGGGTCAATCCCTAGACATCTTTCTCTTTGTTACTGTCTCCCTGATCTGAGTCCTTCTAAAACCAACTTCCAGTCTGCTATCAGCAATCCTTCCATAACTCCAGTCTGTTTTCCTAAATCTTGCTCACAGGTTTACTGATTTCTTGTTATCCACGTCATCAAATCCAAAATTAAAAAGTGTGATGGTTTGCAAGGCCTCCACCCCCACCCCATTCCCTCTGGTTGCCCTCACTCTATTAATTCCAATTCTTGCCCTAATGTCCACCTTACCATCTGTAGTCAGAGCAGGCTGAAATTTACTACAGATAAATTCTATCTTTACCTGAAGATCTTGACCTTTGTTAAAGGGCAATGCAACCTCAACGTGCTTTGAATCACTGTCAGCTGCTCACATTTTAGAGTAAATGAGTTTGCAAATTCTCTAGGTGGTAAATTTTGGTTGGGCAAAGATAAGGATCCTGAACACCATTAAGGGGGAAAGGTTATAAAGGCTGGGATTGGCAGATTTCCCTTCTCAGTATTGTCCAGGAATCACAGGTCACTACTCCCTGTTCCGTTTCCCACAGGTATCTTCTCTTCCTCTTTTCCTTTCTGCATCTCCTGCTTACTCACTAAAGCCCAGGTCATGCCCACTTCTCAAAGCAGCACCGATCTACACACTCTCTTCCTCCCTGCCCCTCTCATTTATTTGGCACAGAGACTCATACTCCCCACATTGCTAACTTCTTCCATAAAGTCCTTGAGGACAGGTGCTGTGCCTACTTCCCACTTGGCAGTTACTAGATAAATATGTGACCAACATTCCAGACTTCTAAACTGACTATTCCCCTTAATCGGTGCTACTCCATGGGCTATTTCAACTTCAGCTCTGCTGGCTTTGGTTGGACAGAACTTTTAACGTGGCATTCTGAAATGCTGCACATCCATCTGTCCCCTACAAAGCCATTCTACTGATATTAATAGATTTAGGAAAGGACATCACTGACAAAACAAAACAAAGAAACAAACAAAAAACCCATACCCCAAAGAGAACATGTGAAAGTAGAAACAAATCCAAATAGGAGATGAGTCCTACTATTCTCATTTTAGGGCCGACATGAAGGCTGGGAGATGGAAGTGGAAGGAGACCCATATTTTTTATACAGTATTGCCTAATTATAATCACATTCATTGAAACGTTGATATTTGGAACCATGAAAAAAAAAGCAGGATTTTAAGAACAGGGGTTATTGAAACTCATGTTTTTCTCCAAGTAATTTACGAGCCTTTGTACCAAATTAAAGTCCTCTTACAGCGACCTAGTGCAGGTTCCAAGAGACCTCCAGTCAGTCATTTGAAGGCTCTAGAGCAGCCCTCTCCGTCTCCACCCCCACTCATATCCCCTTCTCTTCTAGCTCAGGCTTTTAAGATTGTTCCTATGCCTTGGGCCAAATACAAGCGGTTCAACACATTTCTGCAGTTAGGCAGGACCCTAAGTAAATCCCCAGGAATAAACAAGAGCAGCAAGTCACAAGTTGCTGGGCGGAGGGGGGGGGCGGGGGTGACGGAGAGGAGGAGGGGGGGCGGTAATGAACTTTGCTGCTGCAGGCGGGCCTGTCACTCTAGCTGACAGCAAGCACCTTCACCTTCAAGTTTCTTACCAAGGCAGCATCCCCTGAAAGAAAGTGCATAGCTCGGAGGCAGGGCACGCTAGCTGAAAAAGAAAAGGGAAGCGTGCGGAGACTCCCTTCGAAGCCCCAGCCCTCGAGGCCGCGTTTCCAGGCCTGCGGCCGGGCAAGCGCTCAGACTGTGGCCTGAGAGGGGCGCACGCTACCTGGCGTCCGGCTCCTCCTCCGACTCCGCGGCCGTCTCGTCCTCCTCGCTCTCCGATTCCTCGTCGCTCTCCAGCCTTCGGGTGGCCTCCTCGTCCCCGTCGGAGCCGAGGGGACTCTCCGCGGCGTAGGTGCTGTCGCTGCTCGCCATCGTGCCTCTGCCGGGCCGGAGCCGGAGCTGGAGCCGGAGCCGCCCGCGCGCGCCCGGTGTTCTCCCTCTGACTGCGCCTCTGGCCCCGGCCCGGCTCTGCCCTGCCCCGGCGGGCGGCTCGGGTTCCCGGCCCCGGGGGCGGGCTAGCCCCGAGGCTTTAAATAGAAGGCGTCAAAGTTTCGCCACCGAGCTTCTGGGGCCCGGGCTCAGCGAGTTCTCTTCCCCTGCGTCTGCCAACTTCCTCCTCCCCGACCCTCCCCGCTCCAGTTTAGGCAGATCCCTGGCGGCCCTTTGGGCAACTCTTGATCACCATTCCGAAGGGGGGTTAGGCTCCAGCTGCACCAGGGGCTTGAAAGGAGGAAAGGCACCCAACCCCGCCTCTCTTCCCTCCAGTGTGGCTTTGGTGTGCTGTATGCTTGGTGCGCAACTACTTGATGGACCCTTCATCCCAACCAAGTAACTACTCCTTACTAAGCAGAGCGCTTACTAGTTCAGGCCCTCTGCTAAGGGTCTCATTTCCATTACCCCCTCACAATTCTGCTGTGGTACTTTTAACTGCAATGCTGGTTTTTTAGATCAGAAAACTGAGGCTCAGAAGAGCTTGGGAAGCTGGCTGGCGCAATGTCTCCTGCCTAGTATGTGATCCTATGGGAAACAAAGCTAGGTCTGCCATCTTCAAGGGCCCAGTTTTCAACCATTGTTCCTTCATATTGCCTCCTTTTGTGTTTGCAAATCAAATAATTGTGTATTCTCATCCTTGGTGACCTGTAGACTGTTTAAGTCAGGGCATTTTTCTCTCTCCTAAAAACCTTCAAGAGAAATAATTTTCCTCACATTGGCCAAAGTCTAAGTTCTGTCTGAAACTCAACCCAAAGGCCCCAGACTTGCGTTGGATCATAGCATGCTTATGCTTAAAACCACTCAATGGCTTCCCCATGCTCAAGGACTAAAGCTCAAGCTCCTTAGGGAAGATGAACACTGGATAACAACAGCTCACATCTCGTTTCTTCTTTAGAAGTCAGGATTCCCAACATTTATTAAGTCACACCACTGTGCCTTTATTTACAGTTCCTTCTGCCTGAAAGGTTTTCCCAACCTTTATTTACCTGGTGACTGACTCTCCATTCAAGATCACCACCTTTCTCTGAAATGCCCAGGTTAAGTTCAATATCCCTTTCGGGTTCCATTATCCTATATTCAAATTATGTTTGTGTCTCTTTCCCTCAGTACACTCTATAAATTTGTTACTCATCTTTTTCCACACCATCCCCATCTCTTACAAGGCCAGAAGCAAGCAAAGTACTTCTTAGCACAGAGTAGACACTTAATGAATGTTGCCTGAAGAAAACAGGACCAGACCTGCTCAGTACATACAACAGATAGAGATATCTTTATAACAGTCTTTTCATGAGGATGATTTTATGGCTAGAATAGCTAACATTTATTTTTAATTACAGCAAATTCTATTCACAGAGTTGCTAAATATGATGAACATAAGTTAGGTAATATTCACCAGTTACACTAGCTTGTATGTGTGTATTAAGTCTGTGAGCAAAGAATTGCAGATAATTCAGATACAGTACAGAAGTATCAGCTGGTGTGTATGGGAAGGGAAGATAGAGGAGTCCAGTCTTCCAGGGTTCATTAAACCAGGTTCAGCAAGTTATTATCTTAACATGAGCTAGGTTTATCCAACTAGTAATCCCAAATGACTGACTCCTCACCTAGGACAAAAAGAATGCAATCATAGCTGTGGGAATCTGTTAAACACTCACCAAACTACAGGTAGCTGCTGTATATTCCTTCCATCTAACTCAAAATTTCTTGGGAACACTAATTAAGGTCAAGATTTATTTGCAAAGATCCTAGTTCAAACCAATCCAAAATGTAGAACTGCAGTACGGATTACACATTTTTAACTTTCTAACACTATCTTCTTAACAATGCATGCAAATGAAATGGCCAGATCAATACAAATAGAACATAAAAGAATGTATTATTCACCACACAAAAATTCAAAAATTCAAACTAAAAATAAAAGTCTAAAAAATTCCCTCAATATACAGCTCACTTATCTGACACATCTATCACAAGGTACATAATCTTAGGCTTCAGTCTATTGATTTGGGAATGGGTATAAATTTATTAACAAATAACTTCTTTATCTATGTGTTACAGCAAGATAGCTAAAAAGTAGCAGCAGCAAAATGAGGGGTGGGGGAGTACATGGCACTGAGCGCTGAGAAAACAGTGGCAATAAAAAAGAGTCCATACCATGGTAAATGAATGCTAGGGCTTTCTTGAGAGCTACACAGTATTACCATGGAGTACTAGGACTGTTTTTTATTGTTTTTAATGATTATCAGAGTCATCACTAGAATATTAATTATACTCAGTACATTCTGATAAAGCAGAGTTGCACAGTGTGTATTTTAGCAAAACTACCCAAAAAAAGAACTGATGTATAAAGCTCCATTGCCTCAAAAGTGTTAAACATGAGTAATCTAAAAAATTCACCTATGTGGAAAGCTTCATTCCTAATAAAGCCAGAGAAATACAGTGTTGATGTGGTTAGCTGGCTTAACCAAGAATGAACTCAATTCCGAGATTCTCTGTATAATCTATATTATCAAGCATAAAAGTTAGATTCAGTTCAGTTCTAAATGAGAACTACAGCCTCAAACTCATCGCAAAAGACTAGCGCAGAGACAAAACAAAACAAAACACACCAACAATTTCCATATATAAACTTTATTCCATTTGACATCATACAAAAATTTAAACTTAAAGAAGAAAAGGAAAATATGCACCTTTACAAGTCAAAGAAAAGCAAAAGTCTTAGCATTTGAATTGGTCTGCAAAAAACCCAAATACATTAGAGGTACAAACTGTGCTACAGCAGGCCTAAAAGAAGTTGTACACAGTCCTTCTGAAAAAGTTAAAATTGTTTTCAAGATTACTTTTCATATTTAAATGTACAGGCACTGACCAATTTACAAATATTTACATAAACGAAAAACAACCTTAATAAAACACTGTAGCCTTTTTTTAAGCAGCTACCACTACTTCTTCATATGGAAAAAAAATACTAAAAAAATTATCTTTACAAACATTAAGTTTTTATTTGTAATAATTTTATGTCTTACCTAAAACATTTTATAGTGGCTTACCGCCTAAAAATTCCAGTTTAGATTACAATCCTATAACTGTATACAGAAGAAACCTGATACCATCAATAGGATATAATCTCAACTTTGATCTTTCCCCAGTCTGATGCTTCACGTCACAGGGAAAATAAAAGCAAGAAAACATGAAATAAAGTAAAAGTGCACAATGCACTAAACTATCATAAAGCACAGGGGACTTACAATCTTTTCAAAATGTCTACAATGAACTAATTCTTTAAAACAATTTACTAACTGCTGAAAAATACAGAGTTAGTGCTCATATTACTACAGTGCAAAATGTACTGTTTTCAACAAAAAACTTAAAGCAATCTCAAGAGTACATCAAAAGCATGTGAGGTACTAATGAAATGCTAATATAGACACACCCAAAGCCTCAGTCTATCCTGGTGAGTCAAGTGAAGACTTAAGGCAATTGTCCAGTATTTCAAGCCTCTGCAGTGATTTCAGTGAAGTAACAGATTTCATTTTGCTTCAAGTAACTGAATAACTGGCTTGAATCTTCACTTTACTAGAACAGACAGGCAACAAACTATCTACTGTATGTTATACGTTAAGTATGTATGAATCAATCCCTTTCCAAAATTCCACACATATCTTCAGTATTAGCATGTGGTATAATTAATTGAAGTTATATCAAAAACCTTTTATTTGTTCAGATAATTCCCCAAAAAATATTTTATCTGATCTGAAAATTCATGCCATAATATTACTAATCAATGTAAACATTTTCAAAAATACATCTTTAAATCAAAGGGTTTTATTAGGAAATGTCATAATAAAATATGCAATCTTTATATAAGTATGTCCTCTTAAAAATAAAACATGAAAACAAGAACAATTAAAAAGAAACCATGATGGAGGTAAACAAAATACATTATGATGTTACTATTGTTCTTTATTTCTCAGAAGATTTTATTAAGAAATACAGGCCAGTTATCTTTTCAGGATAGCAGCTCTTAAAGGTAGTATACTGTTCAAATCTCTTTTGTTTTTCAATCTGTGCCACGACTGGGAGAGAAAGAAAAATCATTCTTAAAACAAAACTTATATAAGTGGAACAAAGACTGAAATGAGAGTTACTAGGAATGTTAAATAGTGGTTCTCTCTAGGTGGCAAAATTGGGGTAATTTTTTTTCTTTGTGTTTTTTATCTCCCAAGTTTTTAACACAGTAAAAGTATTGCTTCTGCCATCAGAAAAGAAAATGTTATTTAAAAACTCTATACCGGTGTGATTTCAATTCATTAAAAAAGAAATGGACACAGAGGTGGTACAAAAAGATACAACTGACAATATTAACATTTATTCAGAGATTTAAACTATTTCATCTACAACAGCAAGGTAATGAAGACAAAACCTTCGGGTTTGACAGGGTGTGAGAAAATTACTTCAATTACTTGGTTGACTAGTTTGCATCTAGTAAGCTTTTTCAATCAAAAATAGTATTATGGAGAGAGTAAATCTCAAATAAACCACTTTATAGTTTTGAAAAGGAAGAGTAAACATGTAACTTGTAAAAAAAAAAAAAACAAATTCTTATTCACAGGCTAAAACTCTGGCTCACTACTTGGTGACTGCATATCTTTGTGGTTTATTCTCACTTCAGTTGTTCAGTTGACTGAAAGTATTGGTTTTATAAAACTTTTTTTTTTTTTTAAAGATTTTATTTATTTATTTGACAGAGAGAGACAGTGAGAGCAGGAACACAAGCAGGGGGAGTGGGAGAGGGAGAAGCAGGCTTCCCGCTGAGCATGGAGCCCGATGTGGGACTCGATCCCAGGACCCTGGGATCATGACCTGAGCCGAAGGCAGACGCTTAACGACTAAGCCACCCAGGCGCCCGAAAGTATTGGTTTTATAGCTACTCAATCCTAAATGAAAACTCACGCATCAACAATGTAGCAATGCTATTTCTGAGTTCTCAATTTATTCTGATAGACAAAAATATTCCCTCTTGGATATTTGTTTTGCCCTGCAGAATTCCATTAATCTTAATATTCTAATCTGGCTGACAAACTGAGAGGGCCTAACGTGGAAGGATAGCTTGTAATATGATACACTTGCATTTTTAATTATCATCAAAATAAAGTCCACTTCTATGTCTAATGAGAAAGTATTCCTCTAAAATGACCTTCATAGTTCGCTGATCTTTTTCTTCAATGAAGCATTCTCTCCTATATGTCTCACAATATATATTTCCATCAATGTGTTTCTACACTGTACCGTGGAACTCCTTGAAGAAAGACCACACCTAACAAAATCACTGATGAATCAATTCATACTGTAGACCAAAGAGCCAAATAATAAATGACAGTTTACATACATATGGCTGAAGTTTATAAATACAAAATGTGTGATACACACACACTGATTTTCTTTTAATTTCTCAAAATATAAGCAAAGATAAAAAGGTACTCAGGTTCACTGTTACAGTGGGGTACACAGAAGAAAAATCATGGAACAAACATCAGCTCTATTCTAAAGCTACACTAAGTTCCTTGAAATTTTAAGGAGAGAAATGAGTCCATTAGGTTTTACTCACTCATTCTAAGAGCTTAACTGGCTCACTAAGGAAATGCTTACTTCCATCAGAGTGAAAGCCATGTGAATGAAAACATTTCTCTGAAGGAAAAGTGTATCTCTCAATCAAGTAATAAATTTCCTACTGTGCCACTTTAATGACTTCATAACACAGGAACCAGGGCTATTATGTTCTATTATAAATATATTTTTCCATTTCCAAAGCATACTATTCCACTAATGTTTCTAGAGTTAATCTGATGCATTATTTACCTTTAAAAATTGATCCTTGATCATGTCAAATTTCTGCTTTTCATGCACCGCTCTGGCTGTATTTGTTCCATCAAAAGGTTCTGCAATATTAAATGTACATATAAACAAGAAATTATTAAAATTAGAACTTCAGTTTCTATATTAGGTTTAACTATATGAAACTGCCAATATTTGACAGTTTTTAACCTACAAAACAGCAACTGCATATTGTGAAGCCTAATCTCTTATTAGATATATGCATATAAAAATAGTTTTATTATGAACTGTGTTCTAATAAGGTAGATACAATTCCAGAGAGAGGATAACTAAAACAAAGTCATCAGCATAGGTATGTTAAGTCTAAATTACAAAAGTGAGTAAGAACTCTGAAGAATCACAGAGGGTCAAGGACCTATCCCCACCCTAAGGGAAATAAAAGTAAGTTAAATAAAAATTATCAGAAAGAATAAAACACTATATGCAAAAAAGGTGGTCAATGTTAAATACCACGAAAGGTAATTTTAAATTTAATTTTAATTTAAAAGGCCACGATCTGTCCAGCAGGAGAACGGTCACTACCTTTCAAAGTAGAGGTTTAATACTCAGGAGGATAGAAAACAGTGCAGAGTTATGGTGTGAGTAGGTGGTTTAGAAAAAGATACAGTGAGTACAGTAACTTGTAGGAGAAATTTGGCAGTGAAAGGAGAGGGAGAAACAGGAGAGTAAGTACAGAAGACAGAAAGAAAACAAAGGAGAAGTTTTTATGTGTGTCGTGTCTCCAATATTACCTTCCACATCTTCACCCCCACCCACTAACCCTTCATCCACAAGGTAAGAGACAAGAGTCCATATATAGACATAAGGAAACTATCTATATGAGAAGAAAGGAAACTGAGGATGCTAGTGAGCAAAGGAAGATAACTAGAGGCATTAAAATGAGATGAGATAGCTAAAATAATGCCAAGAGTAGGTAAAAATGACTAGAGTTTAAGAATTTTGGCACTGGGGGTGCCTGGGTGGCTCTGTCAGTTAAGCATGTGATTCCTGATCTCAGCTCAGGTCTTGATCTCAGGGTCGTGAGTTCAAGCCCTATGTTGGGCTCCACACTGGGTGTGGAGCCTACTTAAAAAATAAAAAAAGAATATTGGCACTGTAAAAGAGGAAAAAAAAGTACTTACAAGAGCCAGTAAAATCAAGAGTATTTTTCAAGGATGAGAAGACCTATGTATACTCTAAAGCTGAAAGAGAATGTGACTAGAGAGAAAGAAAATGAAGTCGCTAGAAGGAAAAAATGCAATTGAGGGGAAAGACCTGGAAAAAGCATGGAAGAATAGGAAATCTGATGAAGACGTTAACTCTAGATTTGTCAAATAATCTAATCAGGCCCGTAATTTAAAAAAAAAAAAAAACCCTCCTGTTGTGTCTATATATATTTTTTATTGCTTACTAAGGCCATTTTTAAAAGGAGTTTATTGTCACAGTATAGGATACACTGTTTTACTGCACTTCACTTTATTGCACTTCACAGATATTGTGGGTTTTGTTTTTTTTTTTAATAAATTGAAGGTCTATGGCAACCCTGTGCTGAGCAAGTCTAGCAGTGCCATTTTTCCAACAGCATTTGCTCACTTTGTTGTCTCTATCACATTTTGGTAATTCTCCTAGTATTTCAAACTTTTCATCATTATTTTATCTGTTATAGTGATCTGTGATCAGCTGTCTTTGATGCTGTTATTATTATAATTGTTCGTGGGCACCATGACCATACCCACACAGGATGGCAAACTTAAGAAATGTTGTGTGTGTTCTGACTGCTCCACCCAGTGGCCGTTGCCCCATCTCTCTCCCTCTCCTCAGGCCTCCCTATTTTCCCTGAGACACATCAATATTGAAATTGGGCCAATTAATAACCACACGATGGCCCCGAAGTATCCAAGTGAAGCGAAAGGAAGGGTTACGTATCTTTCACTTTAAATCAGAAGCTAGAAATGATTAAGCCTGGTGAAGAAGACATGCTGAACACCAAGACAGGTCAAAAGCTAGGCTTCTTGGACAAGTTGGCTAAGTTGTGCATGCAAAGGAAAAGTTCCTTACGGAAATGAAAAGATGAAAAGAGCTACACCAGTGAATACATGAATATGAAAGTGAAACAGTCTTACTGCTGATATGGAGAAAGTTTCAGTGGTCTGGATAGAAGACCAAGTAGCCACAATATTCCCTTAAGCCAAAATCTAGTTTAGAGCAAGGCCCTAACTCTCTCCAATTCTATGAAGGCTGAGAGAGGTGAGGAAGCTGCAGAAGAGAAGTCTGAAGCTAGCAGAGTTTGGTTTATGAGGCTTAAGGAGAGAAGCTATCTCCATAATGTAAAAGTGTAAGGTGAAGCAGCAAGTGCTGACGTAGAAGCTGCAGAAATTTATTCAGAAGATCTAGCTAAGATAATTCCCAAAGGTGGCTACATTAAACAACAGGTTTTCCATGTAAATGAAACAGCCTTATATTTGAAGAAGATGCCATCTAGGATTTTAATAACTAGAGAGAAGTCAATGCCTGGCTTCAAAGTTTCAAAGGATAAGATGACGCTCTTATTAGGGGCTAATGCTGCTGATGACTTTAAGTTGAAGTCAGTGTTCATTTACCATTCAGAAAATCCTAGGGCCCTTAAGAATTATGCTATTTATGCTATATCTACTATGCCTGTGCTCTATAAATGGAACAACAAAGCCTAGACGACAGCACATCTGTTTACAACATATTATTTTAAGCCCACTTTTAAGACCTACAATTCAGAAAAAAAAAATTCCTTTCAAAATATGACTGCTCCTTGACAATGTACTTGGTCACCCAAGAGCTCTGATGGAGATGTACAATGAGATTGCTGTTTTCATGCCTGCTAACACAATATCCATTCTGCAGCCCATCAATCAAGGAGTAACTTTCAAGTCTCATTACTTAAGAAATATATTTTTTAAGGCTATAATTGGCCATAGATAGTGCTTTCTCTATGGATCTGGGCAAAAGCCACTGAAAACCTTCTAGAAAGAATGCACCATTCGAGATGCCATTAAGGGTATTTGTGATTCATGGGAAGAGGTCAAAATATCAGCATTAACAGGAGTTTGGAAGAAGCTGATTCCAACCCTAATGGATGACTTTGAGGGGTTCAACACTTCAGTGAAGGAAGTAACTGCAGATGTGATGGAAATAGCAAGAGAACTAGAATTAGAAGTGGAGCTTGGAGATGTGGCTGAATTGCTACCATCTCATGATAAAACTTGAGTGGATAGGACCTGCTCCTCAGAATCTACTCCTGGTGACAATATTGAAAAAACAACAAAGGATTCAAAGGATTAAGAATATTACATAAACTTAGTTGATAAAGCAGGGGCAGGGTTTGAGAGGATTGACTCCAATTTTGAAAGAAGTTCTACTGTGGGTAAAATGCTCTCACATGCTACAGAGAAATCATTTGTGAAAGGAAGAGTCAATTGATGCAGCAAGCTTCACTGTTGTTTCATTTTAAGAAACTGCCATAGGTACCTCAACCTTCAGCAACCATCACCCTGATCAGACAGCAGCCATCAACATTGAGGCAAGACCCTCCATCAGCCAAAAGATTACGGCTTGTTGAAAACTTAGATGATGGGTAGAATTTTTAGCAACAGTCTTCTTAAATTAGGATATGTACATTATTCTTTTAGACATAATGCTACTGTGTACTTAACAGACTACAACATAGGGTAAACATAACTTTTATATGCACTGGAAAACCAAAAAAATTCATGACTCACTTTATTGCAATACTTGCTTTATTGCGGTGGTCTGGAACTGAACCCACAATATATCCAAGCTATGCCTGCGTTTTTTCACAGCATAATGCCATATGCCAAGCTATTGGATCACATCACACACAGCACTTTACAAGTATTTAATATTCAAAAGAACACAAGTAACTAAAATAATATACACCCACTGTGCAATTTAACAAACCAACCACCAAAGCAGGAAATTTAATTTCATATTCATAAACTCTTAAGATGTTGCATGTAATCCAAGATTAAAACATTCTAAATGTGATGTTTTCCTACAAATGCTGTTAACGCTTTATTCTTTTTTACCTCAACGTTTACAAAAGTCTTCAATTTAGCATCAGTGAGAATAATTTTGCTTCTTGAAGTCAATTTCTCACCAACTCAAAGAAATATTCAACTATATGTAAATTAATTTTAGAGAACAGATTATCTTCAGGGCATTTAATTTTTAAAGTAAAATAGATTTCTATTCATAAAAATCTAGCTTGCATTAAATATCAACATTTTAATTTTAAAAGAACTCATTTTATCTTAATGTAAGAATTATCACATGAAGATAGTATTTTCTTCTACCTTCAAGTCATGAAATTAAGCTTCAATCAACTACAAGCAGGAGGGATGCATAAAGACTGCTCAAATATTATGAACTAGAAGATTAAATGCCTAAATTCTTATTTATTATTTTTTACAGGTAAAGAATTAAATTACTTTTAAAAATTAAATGAAAACAGCCATAAAACAGAATGAAATCTTGCCCTTTGCAACAATGTGGATGGAGCTAGAGAGTATTATGCTAAGTGGAGTTAATGAGAGAGAGACAAATATCATATGATTTTATTTATATGTCGAATTTAAGAAACAAAACAAACCAACACAGAGGGGGAACAAAAGAGAGAGGCCAACCAAGAAACAGACTGCTAACTACAGAGAACAAACTGATGGTTACCAGAGGGGAGGTGGGTGGGGGGATGGGTGAAATAGGTGATGGGGATTAAGGAGGGCACTTGCGATGAGCATCAGGTGTTGTATGGAAGTGTTGAAGCACTAACTTCTACACACCTGAAATCAATATTAAACTATAACTGGAATTTAAGTAAAAAGTTGGAAAAAAAAAGAAAATTTTATAACTGAAAGACTTGTAAATCGGAACATAAATGTATTACTTTTAACTGAAATACAAACTGGAATTATTCAAGTAATTCTCTCAGTACCATGGTGATAACCAGATGGTAAATAAGTAGTTGTGGAAAATCTACCTTCTACACAGATGTATTTATTTCTCCATTCAATACCATCAGGCCTGGGAATGGCTTTGGCTTCACGAACTGAAATCATTTGACTGTTCCAGCTACAAGAAAAAAAACGTAACTGTTAACTATTTTCTTAATTTTCCCTTTTATTGTATTTATTATATAATACTAAGTCCCACTCTAATTTTCTCACAAAATACTGAAACTTGCCTTGACCCTCAGCACCACAATCCCTGTTTCAATACCCTTCTTTTTTCTCCACAGCACTTATATTCTAACAATTTGCTTATTTATTATTGTTTACTATATGTCTCGCCCAAGCAGAATGAAAGCTCCAAGATGCTGATTTATGTATTTTTTCACTGTTCAAATAGTTGCTTAGTATAAAGTAGGCCTTCAATACATATTTATTGAATAAATGAAGTAATATGAAAAATAAGAAAGCGTAAGTAAGCAAAAAATGTAAAAATTGTGTTCACTGTTAGCACCTCAGTAAGAATTTTTTATTTGTTAAGAGAGATGCAATCTTGTGTTGTTTTCTGGTATCATTAAATAATTTTTGTTTACTGCATATCCACTTGTATGATTTGGGAGAAAATTTTACAACTATCCAAGAGAAGCCAGTAGATGCTATTTTAGGAGAAATTAATACTCTATGAAAACATACTGTTATTGCTATATATCAGATGTAGCTCTTAACAGTAAAGTTATATTCAAGTAAAACAATTTTTTATCAGCATGTCTGAAAGTAAATTGTTCAGTCTTTAGTATGTACTAACCTTATATTGTTTTTTAAAAATTTCTTTACAATTATAATAGTTCTGCACAAGTACAATTTTCTTTTTCTCAAGGAACACTGTAAAACGTATGACCGTTCAGCTTGTATGTAAGAGACAAATGAGTTTGGAAAATAGTTGATATCTCTTTTTTCAGCCATATTTAGCTTTGTCCATCATTTCAGTAAGAATAAAAAGACCAAGGTTTGGGACCTTCCAACTCCAATACTTATCTTACCCTTCCTCTATCAGATAAAAGAATCCCTAGGAATGTAACTGAGGGTCCAATATGGCATTTGTTTCTGGAAAACTGATTAATCTCTATGTTAAATATGCAAAAAAACATTGCATCTTATGAAGTCTGATAATTGAAAAGGATCCTCAAAGTATGATCTTCTATTTTTTCTTATAAGGAGTACAATTTAGAAATACTTTGTAAAGATAACTTTAAGTTCTTTAAGAATACATATCAGAATTTATGCTTTTTAAAAACTAAGCAGGTTCTCAATGAGAAACAGTATTAATTACAGTAACATGTTTTAGATATTTCATGTACAGCAGCTCCATCAGTATAAACTCCAAACAGAAAAGTACACTGCTCTGTTGGTCCAAGTGTGTTTCCAAATTTTTTTTAAAATAACAATATACAGGTGCCTGGCTGGCTCAGTCGATAGGTAGAACATGCAACTCCTGACGTTGGGGTTGTGAGTTCAGGCTCCACAATGGATACAGAGATGACTTAAATAAATTAATAAATAACTAATAACAATAAAATAAAACAACAATGTCAAGGAGAGAGTTATATAACCACATGCCTGAACCAAACATGATCACAGTAGAATTATACTATGTGCTTTACTTTATACTGCTTAAGATATATTTCACTAATAAAATGAACTTTTTTCTTGAGACTACTTGTTTCTCACTGAACTTACAGGACAGTTGAATCTGCAATAAAATTAAAATTGGAAACATTATGTTAAAAAGGGATAAACCATTTTTTTCAGACATTTTTAGAATCTTGAAATACTGTATCCTGCTGTTAAATTACAATTTTTACTTTCTTAAATCAAAGGAACTCTCCTCACCATACTTGTATGAAATCCAATCCAGAATTTATATTACATGCCAATACTTGGTTCTAAACCAGGTGACAGAAACATGTGACATACCAATATTCACTTTATCATCCCTAAACAGGTATCATTTAAGCTTCAACCTATAATCAACCCAAATAATAAAGTTATTTAAGTGACTGTAACACCTGAAGTACTTCACAGAGAAAAAAAAATATTTTAAATCACTATTATTTAGACTGATTCAATCTATTACATTTTCAAAGCACTTTTAAATATTTCTAAATTACTAAATATATGAAATCATAAAACCTGATATATAAAACTTATATGCTATTTTTACTCTTAGAGGTGAATTTAAATGTAAAATTCAAATGGCAATTTAGAAACATTTTCCCTAAATATTTCTTTCTTTAAAACAGGCCCCAAATTAAGCCTTTTATCATACCATATTTTTCTACCATAATTTGTTTGCCATGTAAAAATCTGTTATTGTCATTCAATAATTAAAATGTAAAGTAAGATATAGTCCATAGAAGAGGAATGTATCAGAAAAGAACAGGAGAGCAGATATAGGGTTTAATTTAATCTAAAACAGATCTGATAATATATGACAATCTTTTGATTGTAAAACTGGGTTTACCAACGCCATATTGGTAAGATGTTTGCTTCTTTTCTTCAGTAATGATCATGACCTGCTACTGATCTATTAATTCTCTTCTAGCCATTCTTTTTGTGACTAAGTATTTATTTCAAAATACTATGCTTACACTGGAACATTACAAACAAAAATTTAAGTCCAACAAAAAGTCAAAATTATGGGTCTGAACTATGTGGCTATATATATTAAGCAAGACTAGTCAAATTAAGTGAACAAATATATATAGTTTTGTTTTATTATTAAGGGCTGGGAAGCAAACAAAAAGAAAATGTCAGGGATTTCAAACCTCGTAAGCAAACAGAAAATTCTGCTCTAATCCCAGAGTTTTGGTTTGTTTTGTTCTTCTGCCTGACCCCTTAAATGCGGTGTCCATCAGGGCCTTGCCTCTTTCAATCCTCTTCTAATGCTACAGTACCCCTCCCAAGCTTTAACAGTCTGATGTTTCTTTCCCAAATCCTTTTCTCCAGCTTTGACCTTGCTACTAAGCTCTAGGACAATTATTCCAACTAACAATTGGAAACTGCCACCTGGATGTCCTACATGCATCCCCGTGTCCACATTTTCAAGACTGAATTTAATACATTCAGTCCATGGTCAGTTATTAAAAATCACTTGCTTGCATACCATCCCCCCAAAACTCTCTTACCCTTCTTGCTGCACTGAACTTAGTTGGTTGAAATACAACCATAATTAAATCTTTGTCGACTTCAATCCTTTCCCCCGCAGCTCAATGTGGCTGGAGAAAAATATGCAACCATGCTGATCTTAAATTCATGATAACTTTAAATTCACTTAAAATTCACGATGACTTAGCTCAAAAGGACCCTAAATGCTACTACCCACCAAACATACTGTATTTCCATAGTTAATTCACTCCTTTACTCTCCTACAGGATAATTCATACTTTCCCTCACTTTCCAAATTTCCTCCCTCACAATCATTCCCAGGTGATCTCCATGCTTCATTTCACTAAAAAAACTAAAGCAACCAAAAGATAATTTCCACTAGCTCCCACATCAGTTCAACTGGCATTCCTTTGAATCCATATACTCTTTTACTTATTATTATTAATGCATCATCTGTGCTCCTATCCCACTTGTGCTCTAGATTCCAACCCTTCCTGATTCAAAGAAGCATACTATTCAACAATTTACTTTTTCTGGTATCATCAATTTTGCCATCAAGATAGGTTGTTTCTCCTTTCTAACAAAAACTGAACCCCACTTAACTCTCCAATTTCTACTCCATTTTTTCTGCTCCCCTTTATAAGTATATACACTCTACATATTACTAGTGTCTAAACACTATCCTATCTGTATTTAATTCATCCCTGTTCACTCTTGAGCCCACACCAATGATGCTTTTTATCCCTATTTTTCCACAGAAACTGCTCCTAATAAAGGTCCAGTGGCCTCCATGTGGATCAATATTGCAGTGGTCAGCTTTTAGTTCTCATCTTTTACTCGATCCATCAAAAATGTGACACAGATAATCACTCCTTCCCCCTTGAGACATTTTTTCTCTTTGGACTCCAGGACAACACATTCTATTGGCTTTCCTCCTATCTCAATGATAGACTATAAATTAGTTCCTTCTTATCCCTAACCTCATGTATATACTATACAATTTATTTGTTTATTGTCTATCTCTCCGTACTACAATACATACTACAATATAAGCTCCATGAAGACAAAGACTTTTGCCTGTTTTGTTAATTGTCATATCCCCGGTGCACAGGAAAACAGCTTGATATATAGTAGGCAGTCAATGATTTATTGATTAAATGAGAGGAAAAAATCAGTAAGAAAGGAGATAGTCAAAAAAATTGGGCCTTTGTAATTTCCTACTTAAAAAATGTATTTAAGGGGCGCCTGGGTGGCTCAGTCGGTTAAGCGGCTGCCTTTGGCTTAGGTCATGATCCCAGCATCCTGGGATCGAGCCCCACATCGGGCTCCATGCTCAGCAGGAAGCCTGCTTCTCCCTCTCCCACTCCCCCTACTTGTGTTCCCTCTCTCGCTGTCTATCTCTGTCAAATAAATAAAATCTTTTTAAAAAATGTATTTAAGGGGCGCCTGGGTGGCTCAGTCATTAAGCGTCTGCCTTCGGCTCAGGTCATCATCCCAGGGTCCTGGGATCGAGCCCCACATCAGGCTCCCTGCCCTGCGGGCAGCCTGCTTCTCCCTCTCCCGCTCCGCTTGCTTGTGTTCCCTCTCTCGCTGTGTCTCTCTCTGTCAAATAAATAAATAAAATCTTAAAAAAAAAAATGTATTTAAGTATGTAAGCATGCATTTTTAACACAAGAGATAAGACTAGCAATAATGGCATGTGATTAGGCATCCACGGAATAAAAGGATTACAAAATAGGTAACTTTTTAAGGCTCCTAGAATCTCTAGTACCTAGGTGTCTGTAAGATATTTAAAACATTATTTTGTTTTGTTTTGTTAAAATACAAAATGATTACATTCAGACTTTATTTTTTCCTAGTTTCTCTAAGCAACCTGATTTTTTTTTTTTTTTTAAAGATTTTATTTCTTTATTTGACAGAGAGAGACACAGCAAGCAGGGGGAGTGGGAGAGGGAGAAGCAGGCTTCCCACCGAGCAGGGAGTCTGATGCGGGGCTCCATCCCAGGACTCTGGGAACATGACCTGAGCCGAAGGCAGACGCTCAACGACTGAGCCACCTAGGCGCCCCAACCTGATCCTTTTTTTATTTATCAGTTCCCTGCTCCCAGGTACAGTTCTAGAAGCATGGCTTCATTTTAAGAATTTTCAGCAGGAAGGTTTAAAAGAAAGCTGTGAGTGAAGTAGGTAAGAAAATCTTGGTAATTTTTAAATAGCCATACAAAATTTCTGCAACATTTATACCATATACTCAAGCATCCCTTGACACTTAATTCTGTCTTCGAGTAAAGAGAATTTTTTAAATGAATGTCTCAAAGTTCAGAAGAAATCCTTACAAACATTTCTAACAGCTGCCAGAATTCCTTTGCACAGCACCTAGTTCACTGCCATGACTACATTCTTGGCAGTGCTCCCTACAGTCAAATTTCTGAAAATATCTGATATGAAACAATACACTTGACAAATACACTGTATGATGAAAGAAAAGGTGACGATGTCTCCAAAATCATGTATCATAGTGATAACAAATGCATCCAAAAATTCAAAACCTCTTTCAAAGTCTCAGCATCTTAGCCAGTTTCATTTGGCACAACCGGCTAGTTTCTGTTAATACTAAACTAATACACAAACCTGTTCATCTACCTTTTTGTTTCAGTACAACAAAGCAGTTGGCTTTCAAGGCACTGGTATCTAGATGTTCTAATCCTAAACTATACATGATAGAAATATACCTTTTTTCTATGAATCCTTTCCCCTCTCTGCAAACTTCACTAATTTACAATAGAAAAAACAATGCCAATATATTCTAACAATTAAGAATGTGGTTTTGGAGTCAGACCTGAGACTGAATCCCAGTTCTCTCACTATCTAGCTGTACTGCCATGGACAAGTTTCAAGTACACAAATTCCCTAGGCCTCACAAGGTGTTACTGTGAGGATTAAATAATACACAAAAATCACTCAGCATACTGTAGGACACTAAGTAAATACTCACGAAACATCAGCTTTTGTTATTGCAGCATCTTACAAATCTTGACTCTAGAATAACCTTTGTAGTCTCTTATGTCCCTTGTCTTACAGCCTTAAATCTTTTCTCATCCTATAAATGAAGGCCCCTTCCTTTTTATCCTTGTTGCCTGGACTTAAACTCTGGTCCTAGTCATCTTTAATGATGATTATTATAACTTCATTCTTATTGAACTACTTTCCACCAGCACTTTTCCTACATTTTTTCTTAACCTGATTCAGTAATTTTTAAGTCAACTCCAGGATCTTTGCAACATGTCTATAATCTTACCCTCTGCTTCAAAATTATTTATTTATAGCAAGAATTTTTCAAGTACCCACTCTCTGGCACTGGGCTAAGTAATGGAGACTCAACTGTAAACAAAACAGACACATTCTGATGAAAGCTCTGCGCTGAGGAATTTAAGTAACATTACTTCTTTCATGCCCTATGTTTCAAATCATCTGAGTCAAGTTTCTTTAGAGCTACTGCATCATAGCAAATAAGGCAATACCAACACTGCAGTAAAGTACCATAGTTAAGAGTATGAATTTTGCAGTCAAAACTAACAGAAATACTCCCCGTGACTAGCTGTGTGATCTTAGGGCAAGTTTCTTCACCTCTCTCTATATATGCTTCACTGGTAAAATGGGCATGATATAATATTGTAACATGTGACTATTATGTAAACGAGAAGATACATATAATCTGTTGGGAACAGTTTTTCCCAGCTAGTAATAACAATTTGCAAAGAATGCTATTATTATTCCCCTCTCCAAATCTTTTCAAAATGGCACCCTGTGGTTACCATACCCTCCTCCTCTAACTTTGTAAAACTCCTAAGTCCTTTCTCTTTCCCCCCTTCAAACCTTTCTAAATTGATCAGAAGAGCTGTAATTCCTAACCCTACTCTATCTGGACTTCTAGAACTCCCTTAGGAACATTCAGTTAAGTCCAGTCTAATTATACACTTCAGCATTCCATGTTTACATATCACCCTCAGAAGAAAGGGGAAAAAAAAGGAAAGAGAGTATTCCTTGATTTTTATATACTAACATAACTATTCAGATATCAAAGAGATCTTTTTCCACGTTTGTCTTAGCTGTGCTTTTTACTATAAATCTTAACTTGCTAAAAACAGATGTTTCAAACTATACAGAACCTATACAGGGCCAACACAAACATTTATTCAGGCCCTACTATGAAAAGAGGGAGCTAAACATAAGACAGGATCGCTACTGAAATCAACTAAAATTGGGCTTACTGAACTATCATTTTTCATTAGATAGGAATATAAAATCTATTTAGTTTCTAATAATTAATCACTAGATATTAAATTTTATAAATTACACATTTCTGGACAAGTTTGTAGCTTCTGACCAAAAGTGTAGCATTCACATATGTAAATGAATAAAACACAATCTGATGTTTCACTTACTCAAATTCTGTAGCATAATATTTAAGAAAGCCCAGTAAGAGGTCCCCAAGATTTGACTCATTCTTCGAGAGGTAAGGAGGAACATTACATGGAGCTTGATGTACAAGGTGCAGCTGTACAGCAGGACTAAAAGATTCCTGTCAAAAAGAAAAAGGGGGAAATATAAAGTCATTTAAAACACACACTAAAAACTTTACAAATCCTGACCTAATGCTCTCTGAAGAAGAGAGAAGAAATCTTCTTTATGTTGGCAGTTTGGAAATCTGAAGATTTTCTTCCACTAAAGATTTCACTGGCGTTTGCAGTATGTGAGAAAGTACCCAAAAAACTAAGACACTCTAAACCCTGGCTGAGGCATGTCATGCATTTAACCAAGAGGCCTACAGTAGCAGAAGATTTTTTAACTCATAAATAAATCCTTACTATACATACCAAGATTTCATCAAATAACATAATAGAGATTTCTTTATAAATGTTCCTCCTTCTTAAGTGCCTCTACAAGGAGCAGTTGTACTTTATAAAGGCTATATCAAGTACAAGGTAACAGCATTTTCTAACTGCCACTTAAAATTTCTCTTAGAGGCCATAAAAGTAACTAGTATATGAATAGTACTTACACCAATTTTAAAGATTTTTAAAATTTTGTTTTATTTTTGTATTTTGTATCTTATTGGGAAGAGAAGACAGACATTCAACATGAACTCAACTTGCAAAGACATAGATGGCAGGGAAAAGAAGAACGACAGGAAACTAAGCAGCAAGCAATATTCAACAAACTTTTACCACAATATTCATAAAGGAAGGTATCATTTGCTTGTAATCCACGCCCAAACAACACACTTATTAGAATACTAATGGGTACTTATTCTTTTTGCTAACTATGCCATTCATTTTCATATCTGATCCTTCGTCTATTAGCAGCAAGTTCTGGCTCTAAACCATACTAAATGAACTACAGAGATTCTCAAGTAATACATATCCAAATGTTAGAAAACACTCTTCTTAAGGTAATTTGCACAGTTGCTCTTAAGACAGGTTTTCTACATTCCCCTTTGCCATTAGAGTAATAACAGATTTTTTTAAAGCAACTAGTTAATGGATGACAGCTGTTCTTTTTTTAATTTTTTTATTGTTATGTTAATCACCATACATCATTAGTTCTTGATGTAGTGTTCCATGATTCATTGTTTGTGCATAACACCCAGTGCTCCACGCAGAATGTGCCCTCTTTAATACCCATCACCAGGCTAACCCATCCCCCTACCCTCCTCCCCTCTAGAACCCTCAGTTTGTTTTTCAGAATCCATCGTGGATGACAGCTATTCTTAAGGTTCCCAAATACTGAACAAATCAACCTTGAGTTTACAGATATCAGTTCAATTAGTAACCCAACTTTAAAAAACAGAGGGTCCCTAAATAACTAAATTGTAATGCAGAGAAATTGGGTAGTGCATCTAGTTAAAGGTAATCCTCAAAAATCATCAGGAAAAGTAAAAGAGCAAGAAAATAAAAAATTCCCTCCCGTCCTATTACCTACAATTCTATCCATAATTTTTAACTACCAAGAAGTGATTACCTTTCTTTCAGAAGACAACCACAGTTCATAAAGCTAATACTCCTAAACTTCGGACCTCCCCTTATACTTCTAGCAGATTTAGTATTATATTATGAGACTTAAGTAGAAATCTAAATTGTTTCTAAGACTAGGTGGAGTTAAGGAAGAAGTCTCAATTTATAATGAAGAGTGGAAGCAAAAGGAAGAGCAGGCGTACTGCTTCTACCACCCTTTGTCTTTTACTTGTTAAGTGTAAAACTGAATTTAGGACAGTATTTTAAATTGTAAAATTTCAATATTATTTTCTGGCTAATTAAACAAAAAGGTTAACCTAAGTTCAAATGACAAGGAAAGGAAAAGTGGGTACTATTTAACCGGTTCCACTCTGAAAGCTTCTTACTAATTTTGACTTCTACGACATACCACAGTAAGCATTCAATTTATTAACTGATGCTAAAATAAAAGTCATTTTCTTACCTTAAATCTAAAACTGTTTAAACCTCTTTTAAAATTTTTATTTTGTTCAGTAAGTTAAAGAAAAAGATCAGCAGTTGTAAATTAACATTGAAGAGTTGTAAGACCTACTCTACTAAAATGGTGAATGACTTTGAGCCAACAATTTGACCAGTTTCCTCTTAATGCCACTATTCTTTTTCATGGTCATATACAAAAAGGGCCATATCATACATACTAGGGGAGAACTGAAGGAGAAATCCAAACTAAAAAGAAAAAAAGGATCCAAAAGATGCTACAAGTTAACAGAAATTCCATTTAACCATTAGAAATCCCCATTTTTTATAATCATTAACATTACAGAAAGATTCTCTGCTTGAAGAAAAATTTCATCAAAAAAATTTTTTTAAAAAGGAAGCTCCCCTACTGCATATGTACTTAAGAATAATATACACTACTGTGAATAGGATATGGGTAGGCAAAACTTAAGCTAACATATTAGAAAACACATAATGACCAATCCAAAAGCCAAAGCAATTACAACCAAAATCCATGGAAAACCAATTTAACTGAGAACAATGTAATATCTATTTCTTAAAGCATTTGAGGTGGGGATTACTGATACTTAATGCTGTTTGTTTTTAATGTGGGGAAGATATCTTTATTACTTTTTAAGGGTATATCTTATATGGGGCCTCTAATAACCAAATTTGTAATGACTTAATTCCTGAAAACATTTTCCAATTGATATTTAAATGCTAACATTTTTAAAGATACGTATCATCCTTTTCTTCCTTCAATCAACGCAAAGTTAAGAAAAATTTTAATGGGCAACCCCTTGAAAAACAACTGCAAAGTCTTACATTTTTGCTCATACAATTGCCTACCAAAAACGGCAAAAACATCTTTTGCCAAATTCCATTATTTTCTGATCTGTGCCATAATATCTTACCTTCAAAGTTTGAAATTTGGACAATTAAGCACTTTCTGGAATAAATTAGATTGGCTAAACTTTCACTTGATAACTGTTCTTTAAAAAGATACATGCCTTAGGGGTACCTGGGTGGCTCAGTCAGCTGCGCAGCTGACTCCTGATTTTGGCTCAGGTCAGGATCTCAGGGTCCTGAGGTCTGGCTCTGCACTCAGCATGGAGTCTACTTGAGATTCTCTCTCTCCCTCTCCCTCTCTCCCTCTCCCTTTGCCCCTCCCTCTGCTTGCACAGGCACACATTCTCTCAATAAATTTATTCCCTATTTTTTAAAAGATTTTATTTTATTTTAGAGACAGGGAGTGGGCAAGTGGGATGGGGGGGGAAGCTGACTCCCTGTGTTGGACTCCACACTCAGCTCAGAGCCTACTTGAGAGTCTCTCTCTCCCCCTTCGTCTGCCCCTCCCCGTGTGCACACACACACACAATCTCTCTAAATAAATAAATATTTTTTTAAAAAAAGATATATGCCTTAAATGAAGGAGGACTGTTTTCTACCTCCAAGCAAACAAATTTGTTACATCCTATTCTAACAATATGAATTGTTAGGCCCTGGATATAAATGTTGAGAAAGGTCTCAAAGAAAAGGATAACTGCTATGGAGTACTTAGGCAGAGCTCTGAATGAATAGAGAAAGAGCTAAATGATATACTGAAGTTCTACCAAGCTTTCTTAATTGTATGCAGATTACCACTAATCTGGTGATAACATGTTAAAGACTGATCATTAAATTCTTTAAATTATATTTGCTTTTAAAGTTTTTGAAAGCTTTTTTGGAAAGCTTTTAAAGTTTTGTAATCAACATAAGTATCATAAAGTAGCAGTACAATAATGAAGTGGTTAAGAGCATTAACTTGGGAGTCAGATCTAGCTTTGAAACCTATTAGCTATATGAACTTTATCAAGTTACCTAGCTTTCCAAATGTTCAGCTTCTTCATCTATAAGAAAAATAACAGTACTCATAGAACTGTAATGAGGATTAAATGATACAATGTATATAAAGCATAGCAACAATAGTATTACCTACATATTAATTATTTAGTATATGCCAGGCATCATTATTATAACTATACAATTCATACAATAATGCAGTATGGTTACCTCCTGAAATAATGTATTATTTCAAAATTAACTTCCTTGTAACTTTTAAAATTTAAATAATATCAATTTTAAGAGATTTTTTATCATTAAAACAGTCTTCATCAAAATTTTTAAACTCGTTTTTCAAAGGTATTCATTTATAGCCTGTTTTACATAACTAAAATCCTTCATATTATATGCATTTCAAAAATGAAAAAAGTTGCTATATCTATATGTGTATACATATGTATATATGTAAAATTTAATGTATTTTCAATATACAACTGCACAGAGGAACTCTACATCCTCAGAATTCCTAATCTCATAACTATAAAGATGGCTTTCTGGAATATGAAGATACCATTAGGGAAAGAAACAAATATAAGTTGTCTCATAAATCTCCACCTAGCATAAATCTAGGTAAAATATGCTCTCATGAAAATAAAGATCTCTTCATAAGCTTAACCTAAGTTTATATATTTAACCTCTCTCAACTTCATTGCTTTAACTCAATAGTAAATATTCTGCTCTGTATCACTCATGTTGTTTTTTTAAGTCAGTAAGAATTAAGTAGTAATAATAATGCTATATTATCATATGGCCCAGTGTGGAACTCTTGATTATCCAAGTGCCTTTGGTCATTGGTGGCAGCAAGACTTTATGGTTTTTAGCCAGTAGTGCTGCAACCAGATTTTACTGCAATATCTAAAGGGTCAGGTAGTGACTTTGTACCACTCCTGGGTGGCTCAGTCATTAAGCATCTGCCTTCAGCTCAGGTCATGATCCCGGGGTCCTGGGATCGAGCCCCACATCGGGCTCCCTGCTCAGCGGGAGGCCTGCTTCTCCCTCTCCCACTCCCCCTGCTTGTGTTCCCTCTCTCGGTATGTCTCTCTCTGTCAAATAAATAAATAAAATCTTTTAAAAAAAAAACCACTATTATTTCAAATTTAAGTATTCTGCCATGGAACCATCCATACCAGGCTGGAACACGACATATGAAATCTTCAATATTAAGGTTTCTCTCTGCTTGGCAGCTTCTTAGGGGAATAATGACAGTTGCAATTTTGATTCTTGTGTTTTTAGAATTCAAATGGTATAGCTTTCTGAAATGAATTTTTCAAGTTTAATAGTTCATAGTAGGAGTTTTGTGATTTTAATTTCAGTGTTCTTGTTTTGTTAAAAAAAAAAGATAAATATGACTTTATGCCAGTTTCCCAGTAAGCCTCATATTCTTTTATTCACTACTCAATGATAATGTGTTACAAATACTGTCACATAAGTAAATAAAAGTGAATAATTACTTAAAAAAATAATGCATACCATACCCATTTTTAAAATAAATATATTACCATAAATCTGAGAAAATATGAAAATAACTTTAAAAAGCATAATACAACAAAGTAAGAATTAAAATAGAGTATGAGGGCGCCTGGGTGGCTCAGTCAGTTAAGTGTCTGCCTCATGATCCCGGGGTCCTGGGATCGAGCCCCACATCGGGCTCCCTGCTCAGC